TTTCATAAGTATATAATCATAATATGAACAAGTTTAATTCACACTTTGTTGTTTCCCGTCTCAAGTTCGCGAGATATAATTATTGTTTTTGTTTACTGATTATTGTGGCGATTTTTTGATTGTTTTTAATTTTTCGGCATTTATGACAAATTATTACCATTATTTAAAATTTGAACTTTGACTCGAAATATTAAGTGTAAATTATAACTTGAGTTATGAGAGTGGGCCTTATGGGGAACTGAACCTTATGGATTTTATTTTTGTATCCTCAGAAAAATAGTTTTAATAAGGATAGCTTTAATCCTGAGGATACACCTTATCCTCAAGAAACCCTTTAGTATGCAAAAACAATTACGAACAATAAAGTGACTTTCCAAAATGTGCAAGTTAGTTTAACATTACTATACTGTTACTGTTTTAAATAAAACACAAATTTTATTTTTTTTTTGAACTTGATATGATGTACAAAAAAAACTTACTTTGTGGCGGCTCTTTTGGAACATAAACAGTATACAAACCAATCGCGCAAACAATAATTTATAGTTTTTTTTCTACAATATTTGGAAATGTTTTAATTAAAACACTAACGGTATCAGCGTTTTTGTCAACAAAGCATTTTTTTCTAAAAAAAATGTTTTAAAAAAAAAGAATTGTAAGGTTAAATCGAGAAATACAAGCATGGTACGAAAAACTCAATAAATTACAAACTCAATTTAAAATGTATATAATTTTGGCACTGCATATCATAACAAAAAGTTTAAAATGAATAATTTCCAGTTAGAGTATTTAATGGGTGCCAAGAAATTAGAGGATTAATTGTAATAAAAATTCGGGTTTTTTTTATTTTTTTTTATTTTTTTTCTTGATAATAATTGATATGGAAATGGGTGCCAAACTCATTTCATTTCTTAAAATAATTCTGGCACCCAATAAGTTTCTGGCGCCCCCGTAAATACTCGATCTGTATAATTAATGTTAATTTTAACATCAATCCTCAATTTAATTAGCACTCATTAAATATTGCTTTTAAATTATTAATATAGATTTAATTTAAAATATCAAAAAATTACAACCAAACATTTTTAAAAAATATATATTTCAAAAACATGAAACTTAAATTTCGATTCGCAAAATATTGATGATTTTCTATGTGGCCAACACTTTGTTGTTAATTTTATTAACAACAAAAACCAATGCCGCGATATCATGTAGTAGTGGACAGTACCTTTCTGGAACTTCGTGTTATTATTGTAGAGCAGGGACTTATTCCTCGGGTGGTACAACAACATCATGCAGTTTTTGTTCACCTGGCTATTTTTCGGGCTCCGGTTCTTCGTTGTGTAAACAGTGTTCTGCTGGTTCATATTCGAGTTTTGGTTCATCATCTTGCTCCAAGTGTAGTTCTGGCACTTATTCGGGTTCTGGCTCTTCTTCATGTATTAATTGTAATGCAGGTAAATATGCTTCCAGTAGCGGGTCTTCTTCATGTTCAAGTTGTGGCGCAGGTACATACTCTGGAAGTGGTGCTTCTTCGTGTACGAAATGTAGTGCGGGATATTATTCGAATTTTGAAGCTTCAACATGTTCAAAATGTGAAGCGGGGACGTATTCTGGTGCCGAATCTTCTTCTTGCAAGAAATGTAATGCCGGATATTATTCCGTTTCGGGATCATCAAGTTGTACAAAATGTGATGCTGGTACATATTCAAGTAATAGTGGAGCATCAAACTGTCAAAATTGTGATCCAGGGTACTACTCAGAAAAGGGCGCAACTACATGCGCTCCGTGTCCCGTAGGGTATTATTCCCAATTTTCTGTCAGTGCAGAATGCACAGAATGTGCTGCAGGGACTTTTGCAGATGAACAAGGAAGCTCGGAGTGTAAAGTTTGTGGAGATGGATTTTTTTCGAAGTCTGGATATTCGAAATGTATTCAATGTGTTTCCACAAGTTGTAAATCGTGTTCAAAAACGACGGGGGAGTGCACTTCATGTAATGTTGGCTATTCGTACGATTCGTCAAATAAGAACTGTTCGATATGTCCCGCATCGTATTATTCGAGTGGTGGAACTTCGTTGTGTTCAAAGTGTGCGACTGGGTATTACTCACTCGGTGGTTCAAGTGGGTGTTCAGCGTGTTCCACAAGTTGTAAAATGTGCGACCAAACAAATGGAAACTGTTTATCTTGTAATGATGGTTATTTTCTGAATGGTAAAATGTGTGACACTTGCTCGGCTGGAACGTACCAAAGCGGTGGAAGTTGTGTAACGTGTGCCGACATGCAATACTCGTTGGCAGGAAGCACAACATGCAAAAGTTGCAGTTCAACTTGTTCGAGTTGTGATAAGACAAATGGGTATTGCACGTCGTGTGAGTTGGGCATGGGAATTACAACTACAACGTGTTCTATTTGCAGTGCTGGCACATACAACTTTTTATATAAATGTGAAAAATGTCCAATTGGGACATTTTCATCATCGCCAAAAAGTTTATCATGTGATACCTGTAGAGATGGGACTTATTCCAGCACACCAGGATCAACAAATTGTAAAATATGTGATATACTATGTAAAGGATTATGCGAAAGAACAAATGGCAAGTGTAACGCTTGTGTGAGTGGTGCTGTTCTATCGACTGGAGTGTGTTCATTGTGCAATTCGGGAACAATGGCAAATCAAACAACAAATAAATGTGACACATGTAAGGCGGGTACATATGCCGGTGAAGGCTCTTCTGAGTGCAAAAGTTGTGGAGAAATGACATACTCAACTGCCGGATCGTTGTTGTGTCAGCAATGTGACAGTCATTGTGATGGGTGTGATGCGACGAATGGGTATTGTGTCAACTGTGTGACTGGGTATGGTCTTGCAGCTGGGAAGTGTACTATATGTCCAAAGGGGACTTACTACCTGAGTTCTGCGTGTCAGAGTTGTGGTGAGATGGCATACCAAGACGTTGAGGGACAAACCACCTGCAAGTTGTGTGACTCTTCATGTGCAAGTTGCAATGCAACAAATGGAAAATGTCTCACATGTGCTGCTGGATATGGCTTTGACAGTGGAGTCTGTACGTTGTGTGGTGACCTCACATACTCAGGAGGCGGCGTTTTGCAGTGCCAGCCATGTTCCACTGAATGTAAAAATTGTGACAGAAAAAGTGGTGCATGCACATCGTGCGAAGTTGGCAACAAGAGAGTTGACAACAGTTGTGTGTCGTGTGCTCCGTCTGGATATTGCGATTTGTGCACAGACGAGACATCAGATGGTATTTGTGTTTCATGTGGAGATGGATTTTATTTGAATTCAAGTGATGATTGTCAACCATGTAGTGATATCCATGAAGACTGTCTGACGTGTTCTAAAACTACAAAAACATGTTTATCGTGTGCGGGAAACATGATATCAACTGGCAACAGTTGTGTTGCATGTGAAGTTGGGCTGGTAAAAGTCACAGAAACGACGTGCGACTACTCATACAATGTCATCCCAAAGTGTCAGATTGCAGACTATGTCAATAACCAACACATTTGCACCACATGTTTTGCGCCATATGTCACTTCAAGTGACTTGAAGGCATGCAATTTGGGATACACAACTACAACATACTACAACACAGATGATCACAAATTACACACCAACATGAATGGGTGCATCAACCAAATTGATACAACGTGTTATTCATGTAATACAACAATAATGCTGTTAAACGGAGTTTGTAATGAAAAGAATGAGAAGTGTGAGACATACTCGCAACACGGCTGCGACAAATGCGTTTCAGATGTGATCACATCGAATAATAACTGTGTTGTTAACACATTTTGTAAATATGAAATAAACAAAGAAAATAACACCGAGTGTTTGTATTGTGAATATGATGTGTCGTGTGGCAAAGCAAAACTAAATTGTGGAATATCAAACAACGAGTACTGCTACTCTGCAGTGAATGGATATCACACAACAAATAACAACATTATTGAACAGTGTGAAAGTGAAGTGTGTGTCATTTCAAATGGAATTATCACCGATTTGAAATGTCAAGACGACAAATTGTTAATAGATGGTCTGTGTACAACTAATACGATGTGTTTAGCAATATCAAGTAATGATTGTATCAAATGTGATGCAAAACACCACCTCTCACAAGGAAAGTGTTCACAAAACAGTGCAAATTGTGACAATCAGAATGGAGATATTTGCATTGTATGTAACAACACCATCAACGTTGATGGCGTGTGCACAGACACCCAGTCAATTCATTGCACTTCATTTGACAAAGTGTGTGTTACATGTGAAAGTGGTTATTACAAAGACGTTGATGGCTGTAAAGAGAAGACTGGCGTGTTGTCTAATTGTGGTGTTGTCTTGTCACTCAACACCAAATGTGTCGAGTGTGAGACTAATTACAATTTCGATGGAATTTCGTGTGTGCCACAAACGCTTTCAAATGAGACCACCAAACAAGCAACTAAAAACGAAGACACACAGACAGACAGCCATTGTGAAGTGAGCACCACTAAGGGGTGTCTGAGGTGTTTGAGTGGGTATTACCTCGCAGACCGCATGTGTGTCAAGTGCGAGTACCCCTGTGTCTACTGCTCAAATCGGACATTCTGCACAAAGTGTGACGATTACTCGTATGCAAACAGCAACGGCGTTTGCACTGAAATCAATGAACTTGTTGGTGTATGTGACGTGTTGATGTCAACATATCGTGGATGTGTCGTCTGCAAGGAGGGATACATGCGGTCATCCGATGGGTCAATATGCATTAATTGTGATGAGTCGTGCAAGTCGTGCACCAACGAAGGAAATTGTGTTGTGTGCAATGAGGCGTTCTATCGCACGTCATCGAATGTCACCAAATTGTGTTCACCACAAAGTGAATTGACTTCGTGTGCAAATAAAACAATAGTTGGTTGTATGCAATGTGAAGGTGGGTATTATCTCTTCAACAATTTGTGTGTGAAGTGTCAAGATACTTGTACACAATGCAATGGCATCGATGAGTGCACTGATTGTGTGAAAGACAACGTTCTTGTGTCAGGTGTTTGTATAAATTACACAGTCATTGAGAACTGTGTTGGGTCTGCCAACAACAAATGCTCAAAATGTGATGACAACTACAAATTGAGTGATGACATGTTAAGTTGCATTCACACCACAAATTATGGTGTTGTTGTTGGCATCCCAATTGTCTCTGTGATTATTTTAATACTTATTATAATTTGTATTATAGTGGTTACAATTATTGTTATACAAAAGCGCAAGGAAACAAAGAAAATGGAAAAAATCTGTGTCTTTAAGATGAATCGTTCAAACATCGCAATGAGTGTGTTGGATAATAACATTTTGACCAACAAGAAGTCGCTGACATTTGATGACGCCAGTGAAGTCATTCCCGTTGAAAAGGAATCTCGCGAACTCCTCTGTGTTGGCAACAAAGGCAAAGGCATTTTGAAAGTCCAAATAACAACACGTGGCGGCTGCGACAAGTACTCAATTCACACCGAGCCGCAATTGGTGACTTTGAAGAAAGGCGAGGCGTGCGAATTTGAAATATTTGTAACGCCACACTGCACCATGAAATTGCACGACGAGATGATGATAGTCACTATGAACATAGTAAACAGCGAGACCGTGTCTGTTCCAATTGCCATTGAAATCACAACAGAAAACTCGACTAAATTGGATTACGACGAGTTGAAAGAAGACAAAAAACTCGGTGAAGGCTCTTTTGGAATTGTCTACAAAGGGACTTACAGAGGAAATGTTGTTGCTATTAAAAAGTTGAAAGAAGTTGGAGACAACAAAGGGTCGATGGAAGAATTTGAAAATGAAGTATCAATGTTAGACAAGTTTAGAAGTGAGTATATAGTCCACTTCTATGGCGCTGTCTTTATACCAAGTAAGGTGTGTATGGTCACCGAATTTGCACAATATGGAAGTCTACAAGACTTGATAAAAAAGACGAAACAAGAGATGCCACGATTTGCAGTGCGAGTCAAGCTGATGTTGGACGCTTCAAAAGGCATTTCATATTTACACGAAAATAATGTATTACACAGAGACATTAAACCAGACAACTTCTTGGTGTTTTGCATTGACAATTCAACGAATGTGTCAACCAAATTGACTGATTTTGGGTCATCACGAAATGTTAACATGTTAACGACTAACATGACATTCACAAAGGGTATTGGAACTCCAAAATTCATGGCTCCTGAAGTACTTGAAAGAGAAAAATATAAAAAACCAGCTGATGTTTATTCATTTGCTATGACTATGTATGAGGCATTTACATGGGACTTTGCATTTAAAAATACGGATGTACAATTTAAACATGCATGGAGTATAGCAGATTTCACGACGAGCGGAAAACGACTGCAAATACCAACATCAGTTCCAGATAAACTTGGCATTATTATACAACAAAGTTGGGAACATGAACCAAAAAAGAGACTTGAAATTAATAACATCACTCAAAAACTCGAAGAGTTTTATAACACAATTAATTGATATAAACAGTAATTTGTAAATCAGTAGCGTCATACAAATTATTATTATTTTTTTTTTCACTCGCCTACATACTTAACCTCAACCGACCAATACTAATATCAAGAGCAATATTTTTGTTTTTTTTTTGAAAAAATATATTATACAGAGTAGTATATAAATCGTGCCGATTTCGTGCACCCTTCGGGAACACTCAATCTTCACGATTTCCTCGCTTCGCTCCGTTATTTAGGTTTAATTATTTTAGATTTTAATATTTTTTTAGTTATTATTTTGGGTTTCTTGAGGATAAGGTGTATCCTCAGGATTAAAGCTATCCTTATTAAAACTATTTTTCTGAGGATACAAAAATAAAATCCATAAGGTTCAGTTCCCCATAAGGCCCACTCTCATAACTCAAGTTATAATTTACACTTAATATTTCGAGTCAAAGTTCAAATTTTAAATAATGGTAATAATTTGTCATAAATGCCGAAAAATTAAAAACAATCAAAAAATCGCCACAATAATCAGTAAACAAAAACAATAATTATATCTCGCGAACTTGAGACGGGAAACAACAAAGTGTGAATTAAACTTGTTCATATTATGATTATATACTTATTGAAATTATTTTCGAATCCGTCTTTATAACAAAACGATTGAAATTTACATTTAAATTGATAATTGTTTTTTATCAAAATGAAAATTGAAAAAGTGAAAACACTGATTTTCTAAAAATGTGATTTAAAAAAACAAATTTAAAAATAATTTTGTAATTTATGCAATTATTCAAATATATTATAATAACAAAGTTAATCATATTGTGTATATTTTAAAAAGAATGTTTCATTATTGATATTAACTTGTGTTTTAAACAAATTTACAGTTCTAAGGATGGCAATTATTTTCTGAGGATGACAGAAATAGAAAGTTTACACTTTTACATCTGTCTGAAATGTATATTGAATAAGTTACTATTTTTGAATATGGGAACACGTCATTTCACTTTTTAGATGTTTAAGTCTGTGTTGATAATGTCTGTTTGTTACACGACTTACCATCCTCAGAGATATGTATAGCACTGCCACTATTGATTTAAAATTCTATAAAATAAATTATCAAAGAATTTTTATAAAGTGAGTTTTGATAATCGATTATATCAAAAATCGTCAAAACACAACAAAAACGCCAAATAATATATAAAATTGATTAACAAATTGAACACATTTTTATTGAGAATTAATATTGTATAATAAAAAGAATATAAACATATATTTCTTGTGTATATATGTTTTGAAATATAAATAAAACCGTTTAAAACAAAAATAAATTTACAAATTTGTTTATTTATCAATCGTTGTTTTATCTATCTTCAAAACCTCTCGTTTTGAATTTGCGCAAATACATAAATTGTCATCGCATAGAGTATACATTATTAATACGTTATTTGCTATCAATTTTTATTGTTTGAAATATCATGAATTGATTTATAATAAATTATTTTTGTGAAAAAGATTAAAAATTGTTAGATTAATTTGTTTAATGATTTTGATTAAAAAATCGACTTTTTCGATAATTCAAATGTCTGTCAAATGTTTTCATTTAAACCAAAGTTAGTTTTGTGGTAAATCAAAAAATAGAAGTAGATTATTTTTTTGTAAAAATCAACTGAAAGAATCATCTTTCAAAAAATCCATAAATAGCATTTTTAAAGAAAATCATGTGTTTCAAAATATACCTTTTTGATCTTAGGCAAAAAAATCTAAATTGAAAGAAATTATGTTTAAAATATTTACCATCCTCAGAAAAATTAACAATCCTCATGAATCCCATAATTATTAAACAACAATAAATTAGTTAATATACAAATCGAGTATTTACGAAGTGTTCGAAACTAATTGGATGCCACAATTATTTTATAAATAAAATGAGTTGTCACCCGTCTTTATATCAAATATTATCTAAAAAAAAGTAAATAAAAATATTTGAAATTTGTATTTTTACATCAATATTCAATTATTTTTACATTCTTTAAGTTTTTAGCATTTATTTAATACTTTAACTGTTTTTTTTTTGATAAAAACAAATTAGTGTCGATATACACTTTATTTCCTCCATTAGATATACAAATGGAGGAAATAAAGTGTGATATATATTATAATAATTAGGTGAAAAAAATAAATTAAATAAAATTGTTTTTCATATATGAATAAAAACAATGTTATGCAAGTTTATTATTCTCTGGTAATTAAATTCATATATACCGAAGGAGTTTTCGATGTTATAATTTTTATTATATTTATAATTGTTAATTGAAAAGACTCCGTAAAGAAAAAATAAATAATGGTTTAGCAATCAGTTAAATTGCCACGAAAAGGCTTATAAATATTGCTTAACGATAATGTCCTTGGGTAATAATATAATTATCGCTACAATGCTCCACGGAGAAGAAAATGCCAAAATTAAATTTAGTAATACAAGGCAAATAGTTCAGTAATTGTGGGTTAGGCATTCAAGTGCTTTATCAACTAAATAATAAGATAGTCGAGTCAACCCCCTTTACTCGAAAATGTTGAACGTTTAAACCTCGAAGAAGTTGACTGAGAAGAGGTCAAGACAATCACGGTGAGTAATAAAACAAATAACCTTTTTTAATTAGTTTGCATCGTTAGAATTATAAGTTTTCAGATGGAAACCAAAACATAACAATAAAAATACTTTGTCACCCAATAAATTTAAAACGACTTGTATTATTTGGTGATTCTCTTGTTTTTTAGGTTCAAAAAAATAAGTTGATAATTTTTTAAATGAAAAAACTTCTTGAAATGTTTTGTCATTTAATTATTTACTGTCACCCAATTATTCCTCTATTAGTATTCAAAAACGTATTTACAAACACATTTAACAATCGAATACAGAATGCTGAATAATCACTTTTTTAGTGATAATATTTGTAAATCGTGTGAAGAAACTTATTATAAAAACGTTGAAGGGTGTGTAACTAAAGTGGGAAAATACGATAATTGCCAATTTGTCAACGTCGTTTTAAATTCTTGTTATGAGTGTACCAAATTGTTTCTACTTATCAATAATACATGTGTAACACAAAGTGAAGTAAATAACACAACAAATGTGAATTCAATTTTAAAAACAACGAGTGAATACAACGACAATTGTATTGAAAGAAGTTCTAAAGGCTGTTTCAAATGTTCCGATGGTTTTTATTTGCACAATTCAAATTGCGTTCCCTGTAAATCTCCATGCTCTTATTGTTCCAATGAAATGTATTGTACAAAATGTGGTAAATATTCATATGCAACAAATGGAAAATGTGTAGAAATCAACGAATTATTGAGTACCTGTGATGTGATGATGTCAACATATGACGGGTGTGTTGTTTGCAAAGATGGGTATATGCGATCCTCAGATGGCAAAAAATGTGACAAGTGTGACATCTCTTGTAAAACATGTTCAAATGATGGCAACTGTTTTATTTGTAATGACACGTATTATAGAACTCCAAACAATATAACAAAATATTGCAATCCACAAGAAGAACTAACAAATTGTGTGAATATGACAACAAATGGGTGTACGCAATGTGAAGATGGATATGCATTAAAAGAAAATTTGTGTCAAAAATGCGGCGAAAATTGTACTTTTTGTGATAAATATTTTGAGTGTTCCAAATGTGAAGATGACAATATTTTAATAAATAATAAATGTGTGCACTATTCGTAAATACCAAAGTGTGTTTCTTCTCAAAATTCCGTTTGTTCAAAGTGTTCAGATGGTTATAAACTCAGTGGTGACAAACTTGAATGCAGTAAAAAGACCAATTATGGATTAGTCATAGTATTACCAATTATGTGTATTGTTGTGATACTATTCATAATTATCTTATTAAAAACAATTATTTTAATTGTATTCAACAAGAAGAAAGAAAATGTGTTAACAGAGAATATCTGTATTTTTAAGATGAAGCGCTCTAATATTATTATGACTAAATTAAGTGATGACATTTTATCAAACAAACAAGAAATTATGTTTGGTGATGACAGTGATAAAATACACATTGAATGTGAAAATCGTGAATTGTTTTGTGTTGGTAACAACAAAAAAGAAAATATGAAACTTCAAATCACCACAAAAGAGGGGTGTGACAAATATTTGATACGGACAGAGCCACAATTAGTCACACTTAAGAGTGGAGAAGCGTGCGAATTTGAAGTCTTTTTAACACCATTTTGCACCATGAATTTGTGTGATGAAATTATGATTATCTCACTGGACTTAATTAACGGGAAGAAGGAAACAACTTCTGTTAAAATAAAGGCACAAACAGAAAATTCAACACGACTGGATTACGACGAGTTGATTGAAGACAAGAAACTCGGTGAAGGCTCCTTTGGAATAGTTTACAAAGGAAAGTATCAAGGAAACACAGTTGCAATAAAAAAATGAAAGAAACAAATCACGACAATGAGAATCAAAAAATTGAATTTAAAAAGGAAGTTGAGATGTTAGACAAATTCAGAAGTGATTATATCGTCCACTTTTATGGTGCTGTGTTTATTCCAAATAAAATATGTATGGTCACCGAATTTGCTCAATTTGGGTCTTTAAAAGACTTAATGAGAAGAATGAAAGATGTTGATATTAGAATGAAATTGCGAGTTAAAATGATGTTAGACTGCTCTAAAGGAATACTTTATTTACATTCAAATGATATATTACACAGAGATATTAAGCCGGATAATTATCTAATATTTTCTTTGGATATTAATGACTGTGTAAATGCTAAATTGACTGATTTTGGAAGTAGTAGAAACATCAACTTGTTGATGACTAACATAACATTCACTAAAGGTATTGGAACACCAAAGTATATGGCGCCTGAAGTTCTTGACAAAAAGAAATACAAGAAAGCCGCTGATGTTTACTCTTTTTCTTTAACTATGCTTGAAATAGCAATGTGGAAAGAAGTGTTCCAAAAAGATGACAAAGACTTCAAATATGCTTGGAACATTGCAGATTTTACAAGTAGTGGAAAGCGTTTGCATATTCCGGATACTGTTCCAATGGAATTGACTAGTTTGATAACATCAAGTTGGACACAAGACCCACATGAAAGAGCAAATATTATATTGTATATTGTGCAAATTGGACTTGAAAAGTTTTACAATACAATTTAATATGTTTTGTTATTTTTTATAGTTATATTAGTTGTGTGTTGTAATACATATTATAAACATTTAAAAAACGATAAATGTGTTTTAAAAACTTGAGATTTGTTGAATTTTAGGCATTTGAATAAAGTTCAACGAAAATTAATGGGTTAATAAAACATAATAACATTATTTTTTTTGACCAATGTAAATTAGATTAATTGAAGTAAAAATATTACACCAACTTCATTTTATGCCTTTTTATAAGGTTCTTATTCCAACCATAATTATTTCAGTACATTTATATAAAAATCTTTGGTTTTACTATCTTTTTGAAAAATGGAATTTACATATCAACAAATAAATGGTGTATTTTTAAGAATATAACCCATATATTGACTTTTTTAATTTAATAAATAATTTCAATAATGAGTAACTGTATAATACTCATAACATTACAAAAATTAATTCAGATGAAAAACACCAAAAATGGCTTTACACATTGTTAAAAATAGGTCAAACATATATAAATATAAATATTGTTTTAAGTGTTAATAAATATCAAAATTTAAACTAAAATTAAAAAATGTTCAATTACATCATGTTTTGCAAAGCATCAACAATTTGTTGGATAGTCGCACGCTCTTTGGTATTTTGAATCCAAGCACTTTGTATCAATTTAAAATGCTCATTAGACATATCATTTCCAATTTCAAGTCGCTTACCAGCGACTACAAACTCGACGATGTTCCACGGATATTTAAATTTTTTATTGTTGTAACATTTTTCCCAATTAATAATTTCATACATGGTAATTGCAAAAGAGAAGATATCACTTAGCATTCGATATTTTTCTTTATTCAACACTTCAGGCGCCATGTACTTTGGTGTTCCAACTCCTTTAGTGAAAGTCATGTTAGTCATCAACAAGTTGATGTTTCTACTACTTCCAAAATCAGTCAATTTAGCATTCACTTTGGTTTCAAAATCCATTGATACAACTAAAATGTTGTCCGGCTTGATATCTCTATGTAAAATGCCATTGTTATGTAAATACAAAATTCCTCGAGCTGCATCAAATACAAATTTGTTTCTCATTGGATTTGAAATATCTCCACGATTCTTATGAATCATCATATCTTCTATACTTCCACATTCAGCAAATTCAGTGACTAAACTCATTTTACTTGTGACACAAACTGCACCAAAAAGTTGATAATAAAATCAGAATGAAACTTTTCTAACATCTCAATTTCTGAGATAAATACAAGTTGTTTGTCATCTGTTTCATTGACTATTTTCAATTTTTTGATTGCGACTTTCTGCTCACTGAAAACTCCTAAATAGACAACTCCAAAAGATCCTTCACCAAGTTTCTTCTTTTCTATAAGTTTATTTGGATCAATCCGAGTCGAAAGCTCTGTATCAAAAATAATTTGATAGTCAAAAGTTGTTTCTTTAGCTGTTTTAAAGTCGATGTAAATCAATTTAAGTAAAGAAGAAATTTTGCATGTACAATTTGGGGTCACCAAAATTTTAAATCCGCAAGCTTCACCATGTTTCGACTTGTTCCCCAAACATAGAAGTTCGCGAGTTCCTTTATTAAATAATAGTTCGAATATTATCATTGTCTACCAACTTTTTGTCTGAAATTTAACAACAAATGTTCAAATTGTTGTGCTAATTAACAAGTGTGTTGGCATGTGTCCAGAAAAGTATTATAAAAATAATGGAAAGTGCGAGAAGTGCAAATATAATTACAACACACTATGCAAACAAGGTGACATTGAATGAGAGGTTTGTACGAACAAAGATGGGTCTTTGGGAATGTGAGTTGTAGCTTTATTAGTTATCTTGATGATCATTTTAAGCCACTTTTTGGTTGATTATACTTTGGGGATTTTTGTTAACAAATAAAATTAACTAATTTAAAATCAGATATTTAGATGTTAATAATACTTACAATTAAACTTATAAATAAACATAACATTTGTTGTTATGTTTATTTTTTTTGTTTGGAGTATTGCAAGTATTTCTGTTACAAAACACTTTTATTAAATTCATCGCTATTATTATTTAATTATCAAATTGTGTAATAATCTAATGTAAAAATGAAAAATATATTTGATTGCAAACACTTTTGGTTTCATCGTTATAAGCTTGAAGTGTAAACTAAACATTGAATATATTCGTTAATAACTTGTGTTCTGTCATGTTTTAAAATATCATTCGAAGTAATATAATAACTTTCAAACAATTTACAAATATATTTTATTTTAGATGTAAATGTAATTATATAAAATGCATTCTTTTTACTTGTCGTATTTTTTTACTTAGAGTGGCTGTTGTACTTCTTCTTTTTAGTTTACCCAAATAGTTTGTCGTATTTTTAATAACAAACAATATAATCATTGGTAAATAAATTCAACCAATATTATATTTTGTAAATTTGAATATAAATATGTCATTGTAAATGTGTTTTATATACAAACGCGAAAATTCGAATTTAAAAAATTTTACAATGAATTCTTATTAATTGAAAAAAGTTACAATTAAAAAAGCCTCTTCTCCAATTTCATTTAAATCATCTGGAAGGTCAACACGTGAAATTTATAGCACTTGATAAAACAGTATTTCGGTGGTTTTTACTAGTTTTGGAATTTTTTCTTGTAAAAGTGAACACATATGAAACGTTTTAAATCCCAAAAATTTTAACGTTTTTGGTTAGTTGAATCGACGAAATATTTTCACATCCACTGGATGTGTTATTTCCAATTAAAAAAACAGTTGTGGAAATGTTTATAGACATCGTAAAGTCAAAATAAAATACACACCAACTCCAAATCTTGTTATTCTAATGTTTTTGTGGTGTGAATATAACAAACAAATATAATTCTGTTTGTTTAAATGTAACACATAGTTATGGAAACAAAATTGAAATTTTTGAGTCGATAAACTTTGTCGAAATTAACTGGATACAAAACGTTTACTTTGTAAAACATCATTTTGAGATATTTTTTTTAAAAGTAATTATTAACACTTAAAATAACACCCTTATTTTTGTTTTGACCTGTTTTTCGAGGGATATTAATCCAATTTTTGATAATTTTCCTTTTTTGGCTTGTGTATTGTTTATGCACATAATATAAACTCTAAAAAAACGGAAATTTATTTAATAAACTCGATATTTCCCCGATTTTTAGACTACTTGAATTTTGTTCCATGTTATTTGAAGTGTTAACAAAATCAATAAATAGTGGTGGAAAGTAATGACAAAAAAATAATATTTTTGTTATTATTTTTCATTAAAAAAAATTACAATCAAAAAAATAATTAATAAATAGAATAACATTTATTATTTAATAATTAATAATCAATAAAATCAATTTATTTGCAAAAGTACACAAACAATAATACAACAACAGGAAAGAATTAAAACAAATAAATAGCTTATGTTTAGAACAATCTTACAACAAACCAACCTGCAACCAATTACAGATAGTATAAAATTTGGGTGTCAAGAATAAATTGGGTGTTAGATTGATTTTGAGTTATTTAATGGTTTTTCATATTTTTTGGGAGGGAAAAAAATAAAATAAAACGAAACCCATTTTTTTACATTAACTAATCCCTAATTTATTTGACACCCTAATTATTCCTGACACCCTATTTTTCTACTATCTGTATTAAAATAATAATTCTACCACCAAAATTATTCATTGGTAAACCAATTTCCTTTAAAATAGAACTCAATAAATTTTAAAAATATAATAATTGTTGAATTTAAAAATAAAATTAAAATATAAAACTGTGTTCGTCGTGTAACTTGCTATAAATATTGAAAATACGTAAATAAGAATTGTTTTCGTTTGTACAACAAAAGTTAATAATTATTATTATAGCAATTTTGTTAAATTTGTTTAATATTTATTATTTTATCATTTTTTAATTTTTTGACTTTTCAGAAACAGTTTTTATTTGATTCAAAAATAAATACAAAAATTTTAATTACATAATAGTAATTAAAATAATATAGGTTTTGTTAGTTAAAATTAAAAACTTATAAAGATATTTTAAATAACTTAAATATTAAATTCAATTGCAACAACGACAATATCACCAATATAAATATATATTGAACAAAGCAAAAATGTTACATTTAAAAATAAAACCATCGGTATTTTTTTAAATATTTATTTAAAAATAAAAAAATACATTAAATTATTTATTCAAATAAAATTATAATATTGATAAACAAACAACGAAGAAAATAAAGACACAGTGGCGTTGTTTCGATTATTTTTAAATATTAGCATCGACAGTACAATTCTAATTTAACAATTCTTTGCTATTATTTCAAACAATAATTATACGGATTGTATACGTTGAATATATTATACAAGTCAAAAAAGTCAATAGATTGTATAAAAAGATCCAATTTGCTTGTATTCCAACAATGTATTAATATATTATTGTATTTTTTGTTAATAATACATACAAAATTTAAAAATAGAATGAATAAACAATATATAAAGCGAAAATTTGATAATTAAACACATTGATTGAACATGGCCAGAAGCAGTTGATTGAATATTGTAATTTATCGAAAAAATGTCGCGTTTGACCAAAATGGGGAATTCCTGGACTATTCAAGCTATTATTTTAAAAGCTTGTAATCTGTATGTACATTCTTTAAAAATACACCTAATTAAATTATACAAATTGCAATTAACAGTAACAATGGTGTTGTTATAAAACACACAAAAATGAAAAAAAGTCCAGTAGTCATATGTGATAAGGGTTCGACAGTTAATGTATTATATGTGCAACATATTAAGACCATAAAGTTATCACAACCAAAAGCAAAAAAAGGTGTCACAAAACTACAAACTGAATTGACAAAAACACACACTTTTTACCTTTTATTATTTCCAAAAAGTGCACAAGGCGCCCATCCCCATTTGGTCATAAAAATATTATGATTATGGACACACAGGTTGTTTCTATTTGTTTCAACATATAATTTATTAACCACATAGAATGTAATCATGCATATAGCCGCCGGTTTGTACGTAGTCGGCAACCAATGTAATTGAACAATATATATCCTGTAAAATAGCCATGGCCAAAGTGACTCTTTTAATCAATAAAAGAGTCTCTCTTTGTTGTTTAAATAAAAATCGACTATCAAAATAAAACAATCATCAAAACAAATCAATAGCGCTTATACGGCATAAATAATAGTCAATACAACATATTATAGAGGTATGAGCGCTTCTATTTATAATATTATTATATTATAAATGTGAAACAGAAAAAACAGAAAGGAAACAAAATCAAAGATTAAAGTATAAAAGAAAAAGAAATCGTTTGGGTATAATTGATCAATTACATTGTTCGTTCAATATTTTCATATAAGGAAACAAATGTTTTAAAATAATAAAATATTACTTGAAAATAAATAATAAAGTAAAGTATTGATGTGTGACAAGTATAACTTAAACCGAGATTGGGTCAAGTGGTAAAAAATATAATTCAACCATAGTAAAATTGAATTATGATTTTAATTAATTAATGACTTTTTGTTATTATGTTAATAAAAAATTCTTAATGTTAAAAATTCATTGAAAAGTAATGAGAAAGAAAAATTATTTAAAAGTTATGAGATAAATTATGAAAACAATAAACTGTCCACAAAAATCATAACTACCATATTTGTTTTAATCTAATAACAAACAATATGAAATATAATTAAGATTTATCTGATAACAAGTGAAATTTAATTTAATTATATATACAGTCTGATTTAATGAAGTGTGTAATTATAGTTTTTGTTGTTTTCAAGTAAGTGAGAGTTTATAATAAACAAACTAAATAAAACATATACACACTCATTATCAAGTGGGTCCATATTTTGTTATTTAAAATCAAAATAAGGTTATTAAAAACTCACTCTTAAAATGTTTGGCCGATTTTTTTTTGGTTATATTACATTTATATGGATGTTATTTGTTTACAAGTTAAAATCAACATATATTAATCACAATATAAAATACTGCTAATCTATCAAACTTTGAACTAAAATAATATAAAACTAATGTTTCCCATTGGGGCGATAAATAGGTTGTTTGTAATCAACAAAACAAACACGAAAATATATAAAACAATACTTAACATGTTTTGATATATTTTTTAAAAAATTCCATTGTAACATAAAACTAAATTATAAATGATAGTTTAAACATTATTCTATTTAACTGACTCCTTACTGTTATTATTAGTTTCTATTTTATCTGCATATACTAATTTATAGTTCGACAAGTTTACATTTGATCGAACTTGTCGAACAATAAATGTAAACTTAAATTTCTAAACAGAAATTTTTCAAATCCCAATTATAATTACCCATGTTACTATTTTAAATAAAAATTCAAACTTTCTTTTATAAATTAGTATGTTATAATACCACATTTTTCGCAATAATTATTTTGGAAACACCTGATTTTATTAATTTGTATGACCAAACAGTGTTAGACTTATTATATGCAAAACAAACAAAAAAACGTACTAACTTTTTTATATTATAAATGTTACATAAAACTAGAAATAAATAATGATATTAAAACTGAATATTTTATTTATTAAGAATTTCTTTTAGTAACGAATTTAGTTTATATCCATCTGTATATGTGTTATAACAATTATATTTCTAGTATTAAAAAAGTTAAGAATAAAAAAATAAATTTTTCATGACTACAAATGAGTGGTTTTATTTTGGTGTTGAATTTATTAATAAAATGTATTACTGTAATACCAATTTTGCATTGTTGATAAAAACAGAATATAACAATAATTATAAAATTAAAAATTATTCACTTAATTATGTCTAGTTAAGGTGTTCTAATGTATTTTT